GGCGAGACGCTGCTCAACGGCCGGAAGATCGTGGTGGTGGACACGCCGGGCGTTTGCGACACCCGGCTGTCCGAGAGCGAAACGGCCGCCAAGGTGAAGAGCGGCGTGGAGCTGTGCCCGCCCGGCCCCCACGCCCTCCTCCACATCCTGAAGGTGGGGACCTTCACCGTCGAGGAGAAGGAGACGGTCCGTTTCATCAAGAGCGTCTTCCAGAAGGAGGCCCTGCGCTACGTCGTCCTCCTCTTCACCCACAAGGAGGACCTGGACGGGGGGTCGCTGCGGAGCTTCGTCTCGGCCCAGGACAAGGAGCTGAAGCGCTACATCGGCGAGTGCGGGAACCGCTGCCTGGCCTTCAGCAACCGGGCCGGCGGGGCCGAGCGGGAGGCCCAGGTGGAGCAGCTGATCCGGATGGTGGAGGAGCTGGTGGAGCAGAACCAGGCGGCCCCTTTTTACACGGGAGACCCACCCAAGAGCTCCCCCTGGAGGTTCTCCCTCTTCTGAGAGGGGGAGGGAGGGAGAGAGAAAGAGGGAAAGAGAGAGGAGAGAAAGAGAGAGAAAGAGAGGGAGGGAGGGAGAGGAAAGAGAGGGAGAGAAAGAAGGAGGGAGGGAGAGAAGAGGGAAAGAGAGAGAGAGGGCGAAAAAGAGGGAGGGAGGGAGAGAAAGAGAGAAAGAGGGAGGGAGGGGAGAGCGGAGCCCCCCAACTGGCACTTCGCCTCTCCCCAGGACCCTCATTTGGGACCCACACCTGCCCCACCACGGGGGACCCACACCTGCCCCATCACAAGACCCTCCCTTGTGACCCACACCTGCCCCATCACAGGACCCCCCCTTGTGACCCACACCTGCCCCATCACAGGAACCTCATTTGGGACCCACACCTGCCCCATCACAGGACCCCCCCCTTGTGACTCACACCTGCCCCATTACAGGTGACCCCCGCCTGTCCCATTATAGTAAAGTTGAACAATGATTAGAATAATGGTTTGTCTGCATAACTGCAATAACGATGTGTCTGCATAATGGCTAGAACAATGAGGTGATGCATAATCCCTGGGAAAATTCCCTGGGAAAGTTCTCTCGTCAGTAATATGTGGCAACCCAACGCGCTTTGCACATGGATACTTTGTGTGTAGCCAAACCTTCCATTGTGTGCCTGTGAGAAACGCTCCGAATGTATCCCAGTGTGTATTTCAATGTGTAGCCCTTTGTTCTTTAAGGAGGGGAGTATAAAAACTGAAGTCTAATCC